TAATTGAAACTTAATTCAATAAACGAAATTTAAACTGTAAGAGATTTGAGACTTTAATTACGAACCCATGTTTATTTACATTTTATTAATTCTTACCCAAACTCATAGAACTAAATAAAAAATCTAGTAAAAATAATTACATTTAATTAATTGGTAAGAAAATATATTCTATTCTTCACTTTGTAATGTGCGGATATTCAAATATCTTGTGTTTGCAGACTTCAGAGTTCACATAAAGACCTTTAGCAATTCTCTATTACGTGGCAAAGAGATCATCCTTACAGTCAGTTGATGTAAAGGATTTGTGTGGTTGTGAATTGCTCCAGGCAACTTTCATTTTTAACTGAACAATGGTGTTTGCAGTCACACCCTTTGTAAGGCAGCCAGTTTCCATCGGGCTGATAGCACGTATCTCTGCATTCTCAAATTGTTGACCAGAGAGAGACTGTTGATTCAGAACCAACAAGACTTCTCTGTTCTCAAAATCCTTACACAGATTGCCTCTTACAGAGACGCCCAAGAATTATTTTAAAACAGAAATGAAAAGATACCTAGAGAACGGGGTTTTTTTTTAGTTGTGATCGGAGCCAATGTCACCTTCGCATTTTAAAGCATGATGAAATTTTCCTAGATCGCACGATGTCAATCTGAGGCATGTAGGTGCCTTGCTTTGCTCTGCTTTCCTCTCAGCTCCTTTCACCAGGTGGAGATAAATTGGGAGATAGAGTTCTGACGAAAGTGATGGACTAATTATTCAAATGAGAGACTGAAAACTCTCATTTTCAAATAAACTTTTATTTATCAAAAAATCACTTTGTTATTTATGTTCTACTCCATTGATGAAAGTTTAACCAATTCTACATACAAATCGATTTCCGTGTGGGTGTATTTTGGCATTTGAAGTATGGTAGCAAAATGTTTTCTAAAACCAGAAGTTTCTCACTAACGTACCGCTGCTTAGAGCAAATTTCCTAACCCCGCGAACACTGTGGCAGGAATGCAGTCTGAGGACACCAATCCTAGCCATAAAGCCACGCCTTCCCTGGCGAGAGGTCTGGGTGGTGGCATTTCACAAATGATACTCTCTTATTTCGGTCTAGAATCCTCCTGAACTGACCAGAATGGTGACTGTGCATCCAGACCTGTGCTCTCTCCTTCTTCCTCCTCCCGTGTTGCAAGTGCTATATGCTCTGTAGTTCCACACAAAAACTGGGACACTATCAAGTAGTGATTTCACAGGTGGGAGACAGAGGTGTGAGAATGGGTGCAGAAGTCAGGTGCTTTCAGGATGGAAAAGCAACCTTTTCCTGGATCGAAGGAAGAAAATGGATAATGAAATGTGTTAACGTGATATGTAAGATTAATATGTAAGAAGAGGTAGGGGCAGGGTCAAAGGTAGGAGGAGAACAATGTGATAAGAAAAGAGATTGATTCCAAAGATCAACTGATGAAAATATAAACTGGAAAGAACATGAACTTTGGATGGAAGAAGAGACAACGGAAGAGAATTATAGGCAAAATAGATATTTTCAATGATTAAAGCCTGAGGTGATTAATAACGTTCAACTGACTGAATACTGTAATAGATAAATGAAGAAGCTCGATGGTATCTTATATCACACTTTCAGGCAAAATGGCTCTTCCTAAGCAAGCCCTGTAAATGCTGGGAACTGAGGGTGAATTCGTAGCTAGAAAACATCACAGGTTTTCCTGGCTTGACCAGAGCGAGAAACTGGCTGTTTTCCACCTGGGAAGGGAGCATTTTTCAAGTTCCATCTTCCATATGATTTGATCTGTATTGGGCTGGATTCTAAAATGACTGGGTTATGAGTGAATCATGTATGTGGTATGTGGCATTGGACACCTAGTTATTATTTTGTGGGGATGGATGGAAAAAACCTTATACAATAAAAGAAAGTGAAAAGGATGTGTGTGTGTGTGTGTGTGTGTGTGTGTGTGTGTGATAACTTTGGTGACATGCTTGACAAGCAGAAAAAAGACAGAGGAGAAATTATAGGACACTCCATTTCAGGGTTGATATTTCCTGGAGTATCTCAGTGACCTCAGGAAAGCCATGGAGTGTGGAGCAACTGTTAACAATGGCCATTCTTGAATGCCCTAGGAATCACAAGGGTATTTGGCCTTTGCTGCACTTGGCGCATTGTTCCCTCTTCCAAATGAGGCCCAGTCTAAGATTTTTGTCTTAGTTCAGGTCTCTATTGCTGTGCAGAGACAACATGACTATGGCAACTCCTACAAAGAGAAACGTTTGATTGAGATGGTGGCTTACATTTTCCGAGGTTTAGTCCATTGCCGTTATAGTGGGGAGCATGGCGGCATGCAAGCAGAAAGGGAGAGAATGAATTGCTGCCTGTTGATGTGCAGGCCACAGGAAGTAGACGGAGTGTCTCACTGAGCAAAGACTGAGCTAAGGAGACCTCACAGCCTTCACCCACAGTGACACACTTCCTCCAACCAAGGCCACATCTACTCCAGCAAAGTCACAGTTCCTAGGAGAGCCATTTCTTTTGGGGGCCATTTTCTTTCAAACCACCATGCGATTTTCATGCCATCTTGGTGTTTATTTCCTTTCCGAAAGAGCGATCAGCGACTTTTAAAAAACACATTTGCAGGAACATAGAGCTAAATAATCAGCCTATTTTTGTGTTTTTTTTTTTGGTGAAATGGTACTTGTTAATCAAAAATAAGAGGTAATTTTCAATTTAATGGCGGCAAACTTGATTGTATTAGTTATGTTCTGCTGCTACAAATACCCTAACAAAGGGAACTTAAGGAAGAAAGAGTTTCTTTTCTCCCAGTTTGAAGCTACAGTCCATCACGGTAGCAGCTGGTACAGCCTTCCTACCGTCTCTACCATACCTCAGCAGCGCTGCAAGTAGGCTGGTCTGGTGTCCTTAACCAGGAAGCAAGGGACTAGCTAGCAGGTGCTCAGCTCGTTTTCTCAACTTTCTCTTTGTCCCGAACAGGGGCCCCAGCTCGAGGAATCAGCATGGGCCCTCACTCCTCAGGTAGTCTTCTCTAGAAAGGCCCTTACAGACACACCCAGAAGCTTGTTGTCTAGGTGGTGGTAAATCCTGTCAGAGTGTGATTATCAGAAATTGGCCTCTAGCTTCAGCCCCAGAGTGTTGAAACTACAGGGGTGTGACATGGCCTCCAGCACCAGTCAGTAGGAATTGGTCAACTCTCTTTTTATTCGCTGAAAAAAAAGAAAGAAAGAAAAAAAAAAAAAAACCACGAAACCTGGCCTGAGCAGGAGCATTAAATTTAAAATTAATAGAAAGCTGCTCAGTTTTCTATGAATGGCTGCATCTAAAGGCTGCTCAGTTTTTTTATGAGTGACTGCAGGCAACATGACGAACAGAAAGATATTCAGCTGGAACTCTGAGGTAATTTGATGGGTAGAATTAGGTACTATTTAGTGGTTGTCACCTGCCAGGCATCCACAACCTTTTCCCTTGTCTTCCTTCTGGTAAATCTGATTTAAAGTTTTGTTCTTCTTTGTTTTAGTGCTGTTAAAGACTTACTTTTAGCCGGGCCGTGGTGGCGCACGCCTTTAATCCCAGCCCTCAGAAAGCAGAGGCAGGTAGATCTCTGTGAGTTCCAGGCCAGCTTGGTCTACAGAGTGAGTTCCAGGACAGGCTCTAAAGCTACACAGAGAAACCCTGTCTTGAAAAGTCAAAAATAAATAAATAAATAAATAATAAAGGTTCTGACATCCTTGAAATCTTTTTTTTTGTCTTCAAGCCATTTCATAAAGAAGTTCATACTGTAAGTTAGACTATAAAAATAACTAAGAAATAACTAACGTCGAGATTTATTATGAGAAAATGCAGAAGCAAACAATTTTGAGCACTGTGTGCAGCGGTTGGATAGGGACAATTGTGGCGATTCAAGCGTTTCCATCCATCCGTCCAATGGTGTATATCGTTTCAGTCACAATTTGTTTCCTCATAGACAGGGAACACAGATTTAGAGGCAGGACTATCTCAGATCTCCGGGAAATCGTTTCAGCCAGGGACTAAGGAGGAGGCTAGAAAGAGGCCTCTTACTGAGAGGGAGAATATGGGTTGTAGCTTCAGGAGCTCCAGAGGAGTTGGATCTGTGAAGGCAGGAAAATCGCAGTTTGGAGTAGAGGAAGGGAGGGATTAAAAATCCTCTTGAAAGCGAGCAGAGGAAAACGAAGAGGTTAAGGACATGTTCTGACACTTTCCACGTGTTCATAGAAAGGGGTTTATCTCTGTAGCCAGGGTCTTTCCTCTGACAACACGTTTTTATTATTTTCCCATTCAGAGTACCGGCCTCATTAAGAATGGTTTGCTGTGTTATCCCTCCAACCCCACAGAGAAGTTCTGAATTCTGAAGTAAGCATAGGAAGGCCGCAAATAAACACAACGTGGTTTTTGAGGCAATTTTCCTGTTGCTTCTTTCTGGGGGGTGGGATGGAAGGGATAACAAGCAAAGATCCTGGCTGAATTTAAACGAGAAAAGAATATTTATAAAAGAAAAAGTGTAGTCAGCTCAGCAGCGACAGTATTTCCTGACTGAGGCTCAGATAGGGCATACCTCACTCATATTTATACCCTTCCTGTGGCACTTACCTCCTTGTTAGACCAGGGAGGTGTTTTAAATTCTTAAGAAACGGCATCTTTGGAAGGAGGTTCAAAAGGAAACGGCGCTGTGGGAGTGGGGCGGGGCCGCGTGTTCGCTCCGTTTGGATTAAGAACCCGGTAAGGCCATCCCTCCTGGGGACCGGTTTTTTTTTCTTTCTACACCTATTACCCTCCAGGTCTGCCTTTAAAAGTCAAGACAGTTTCCCGGTGCTGCAGAAAATCCCATCAAGGTCCCTAGGAGAGCGGACCAAGTGCGCAATAGGAGTTTTCTTCTGGCCGAGAGGGGGAGCCCCGCGATCCCAGCCCCAGCGACTGGAAGTCCTGACCCAGCCCGGGCCGCCGCCAGCGCCAGTTCAGGCTTCGGCAGATTAGGAGACGGAGGGAGGGGACCGGAGCCCGTGAGTCCCGGGACCAGCGCCGTGTAGACGTCCACAAAGTTTCCTCGTCCTCCACGGACGCGGGACCGCGGGCCAAGGTCCCCGGAGTTCCCGTGCCTGCCCCCAGCCGAGCGGCCGCATCCCTCTGCGGAGCCAGGGTAGGAAGCCTACGCGTCCGTCCGTCCGTCCGTCTGGGTCCGGGCAGCTCCGGCCAGGTGGCGCGGGACCGGGAACAGAGCCCGGGAAACGGGCGCGGTCAGCGGGGAGGGTGGGGAGGGCGCGGGGCTGCGGCTGCCCGCAGGTTGCACAGATCCGGACCCCAAAGGCACGGGGAGTCGGCGGGCGGGCGGGGGAGGAGGCTGGGACCTGTTGCTGCAGGCGGGGGCAGTGCTGGAGGGAGGTCGGGGAGCCCTGGGTCCCCCGCGCTGCGCCTTCCCGCCGCAGCCCCCCGCTGGCCCCTCGGGGGGGAAACTTCGCCTGGATGCCGCGCGGGGCCGGGAGCGAGCGGTGGGGCGCTGGACCATCCCGCTGCGGGTGCGTTGAGCAGGCGCTGCCCAGCGAGCGGAGGCATCGCTGGGTCAGCGAGGAGACCCGAGAGAGCCAACTTCGTCCAGCCTGGTCTCGCTTTTGTTGGGTCGCTGGGAAAATGTGGGCCGGGGGCGGGGAGGCAAAAAGCTCGTGACCGGGCCGTAGATACTTTAAAGCCCCACGCGGTCAGGGCCCCCAGTCTGGGGCGGTGTCCACGCAACTGCCCTTTGGCTGGGCGTTTCAGATCCCCGCTTCTGCGGGCGTTGCGTTAGTCGGACCTGGCTTGGCAAGCTTGCTTGCTCGGGTTCAACTCCCGGTAGTGGCCTTGCTCACGACCTCGCTCAGAAGACAGTCCAGCTGGTTCTCTCTCTCCTCGAGTTGCTGGCCTGACTTCCCTGTGTGAGGAGGGAGCTCTGGGCAGTCTAGTTTTCTTGGAATGTGTTTACAATGTTGAATGGGACTTGAACAGGAAGCTGGACGCTGCAGCTAGAAATAGCGTGCCAAGGTAGAGCAAGGAAGACATAGCTGGTGTTGGGGAAACTCCCAAGTGTGGGCTGACAAGATACCCCCCTCCCGCCTTAATGTTTCTAGACGGAGCTATTCTTCGTTTGTACTTAGAAATTTACCTCTATTGTATCAGTCTGTAAGTTTGACAACATAATGTCGGTGAGGAAGGTGTAATACATTTATTCTGTGCCTTCTTTTAAAGATGTTGCACCAATGTTTAAGAACGAAAACTTTCCAGACGGTGCCAGTTCTAGCTCCCCTATTCATTCTAGGTTTTGCAGAGGCCAGGATACCGATGGTTTTATGTCGTCCATATGGGCGATCAGGTCGTAAAAGAGCAGATTGGAAGACAGAGTGAATGGCGAGAAGTGGGAAAACCCTGAAAAGAATTGGAAAATTTTCAGATTTGCAAATGGCCTGCTTGCTCTGCCAGCCTTTCCCTCCTTCCCCCTTGTAAACAAATAGCCTTGCTAGAAAACCCGCCTATTGGGAGAGTTCAGACGCTGGTGACTGACTGCAAGCTTTTCTGGAAACAACGGTCTTGCTAAGGTATTGCTCCTCTGCATTATTAAATGCTCTCCTTGAGCTGTCCAGGAGCGTGTTCCAAGTTTTTACGACCGACAAGGAAAGAAGAGAGGAATCTGGCGGGCAGCCAAGCTATACTAAGCTCGGTAGCCAGGCCTGAAAGAGACTGGGAAAGTTGCAGGGAATACTTGGAATGGGTTGGTGGCGGTACTGCTTCTGAAATAAGGGGTTTCTTTTGAAAGGAAAAATTTAGATGATTGGGAGTCTTCTTGGAAAAAAAATAGCTAAGCCTAGAATGCAGTTGAGTATCACAAGCAGGCGTGGAGGCGGGACGTGGGACACTTCATTCTTTCTCTCTACTAGCTATGGTGCCCTCGCTGATGATGCTTTGCTTGTGCTTGCACTATTACCAAGTCTCCTCCAGAAGCCCGTTGTTAGCAACAAGTTCAGTCCTTTGACCTTGACCTTTTGTCTTTGTTCTCCTGGCCAGTGAGAACTCAAGACCGGTTCCGAGCAGCTGGTTTTCCACCTAAATTAAATAATTCAATTATTTCCAACTCGCCTGGAATGTGGGGTCATGGAATTAAAGTGGAAAGTTCATCTAGTATTTCTTTCTTGTGTTTCAGAAGTGACCAGAATAAACAGATCTCCTTCTCTTACCTGAAGAAGTACAAATCGGGGCATCTCAGTGTTTCACACACGCACACACCGCTTTCTGATTGCAGGCTAGCCAGGCACTAGGTGTCTTATTTGCAGTTCTGACGCTTTCTGTGTTGACATCGCTTCTGTTTGGTCGTCTGTCTCTCATTTTTGTTACCCAGTGAGGTGGGCCTACTATTGTGAGCCTGGGAGATGAACTGTGGTTGCTATTTCTTCTGGCAGTGGGAGTTTGAGGTTGTAAATATCACCCTTCTCTCTGAGATTGACTTTATGAATCATCCTGGGTAAAGTATCTTTCCTGACTGTGACTTCAGTTTTTCCACTTGCAAAGTAAAGAAACTTTCCTTTACACAGTTCCAAGCTCATTAAAGAAATGAAATGATGTTAAGAGCTTTCAGTCCTAAAGGTCATGAGCTTTCTCACTCAAGTCAACCGAGTTTATGAGACATTTAGATCTTTTGTACACGCATAATATGTTGGTACATTTTAAAATTATTTTTTTGCATTTATTCATAGCTATAGTTTAATCACAAATTTTTCATTTTTAATGTTTTTGAGATTTTTTTACATCATTTTTAACCCCCTCGCTTCATTAACATCTTCTGTACCTCTGTTTACATCGTCTCAAATTCATCTCTTTAAATTATTACTGTTGCATGTATATGTATATACATATATTACACACACACTCCACAAAAACACCCTACTGGTTCCCTTCAGTGTTACTGCTATGCAGATGTGTTTAGGATGACCACTTGGGATAGAGTAACCTATCAGGGATCCTGTCTTTCAGCCCTGAGCAGCCACAGGTGGACTGTAGCTTTCCATCTAAAGGTTGGAACCTTGTGAAATGTACAAATCCATGTTGACACATGAGCTGGTATTGTCACTGTGCCGATCTTGTTAGGTGACTACATTGCTGAGATTTCCTGGGTACAGCTTTTCTGTCATGTCTACAGTTCCCCATCTAGAGTTGATGTCCTGGTTCTCTGGTTCTTACGGTCTTTCTGTCTTTTCTAACACAGTTCTCCCTGAGCCTTAGCTGTGTGAGTTATGCTGGAAATGTGTTTCATTTGGGATTGGATGTCTCATGTCATTAATTCTCAGCATTTTGACCCACTGTGGATCCCTGTAATAAATAATCTGAAAAAAGAGGCTTCTTGGATGAGGCATGCGAGCTACACTTATCAGGCAGACTGATATGAGAGCTGCATGTCCGTCAGGCCTAGAAGTATAGGATGTCCCAGGCCCCTTCATTCTCTGATTTTCATCTTTTGAAGACGCTGAGTGAAATTTTGTTACGTTAAAGTCTGGGTTATTTTGTTAAACGGTACAGAATAACCAGTAAACTCACTGTTTTTGCTTTATTCTTTATATTAAAAACACGTTTTTGTCTTTAAGCCTAGGTGATGTTTTTCCTTCGGGAAATGTTCACAAAGATATTTGCAAAGTTGTGCTTGCTCAACTGTTCAATAATTTGCATATTATAATATTTGCCGATTCGGAGCAAGTATGTAACCCTGTAGCCCGTAGTGGCTTCTAAGTCACGATTTATGGAGTTAAGGTTGGCTATCTACCACTTCACTCGGTCTCTTGAGTTTTGGAATTCCAGATGTGAGCCAACACGCCAGTTCTCTTTTCTTGGATGCAGCATTTGAGGGACTGATGATTGAGAGTCACGACAATTTCTGTAAGGGTTCTTTCTATGAGAGATTTGGAGCCAATGAGGGATTGACTCATTCTAGTATTTGTTATGTGTTGAATATGAACATAATTAGTTCTGTGTTAAGATTTCAGCACCAAGCTCGGCTTCATTGGTTCTTATGTGTTAGTTTATTGTCTGTTTGAATATTTATCATTCACGCACTTGTTAGTTAGTGATGCATGAAACTTTGTGAAATGGTTAATTTTACTTTCAGCTGGTAGGATGCACATTGACAGCGAAGCATATACCTGTTTTGAGTAGTATGTAGTGTATTTCATTGTAGTATGTAGTATTCATGAATGTTTAGCTCAAATCTTTAAGGTGAATAGGTCAATGGAACAGAGCAAACGGAATAAGAATGATAAATGACTTAAAGAAAGACAGCTCATCTCTGTAAAATCCGTAGTCTTTCCTATTGGATTTCACATTATCACGAATAATGGATGTAGCAAAAGCAAGTATATATGGAATGAAGTAATATTGGTGTAGTCGTCAGAAGAACACTAGAGAAACTTTTGCTGAACAAAGGAGTTTCTTAGGATAGATTATGGTAATTTTAATAAAAAAATGTCTGTGTCTTCTATGGTGATATTTTGCTTGTTCTTTAGCAAATAAACCTTGCCTGAAGATCAGAGTGAGGAGCTAACCACCAGTTAGCCACACAGACCAGGCAGTGGTGGCGCACACCTTTAATCGAAGCACTGAGGAAGCAGAGGCGGGTGGATCTCTAGAGTTCAAGGCCAGCTAAGAGAGAATCAGAGCCAGGTGGTGATAGCTCACACCTTTAATCTGAGTTTTTGGGAGTCACAGGCCTTTAATACCAGCACTAGGGAGGTGGAGACAGAAGGGGATAAGGCTGGGTAGAGAGAGGATTATCAGGAAAGTGGAGACAGGAGCTCAAGTCTGAGGACTTGTAGAGACAAGATAACCCATTCGCTCTGAGGCTTTCATAGACAGAAGAACTAGTGGCTGGCTTCCCTGCTCCTCTGATCTTTCAGCTTTTGCCCCCTAATATCTGACCTGGGTTTTTATTATTAAGACCGATTAGAATTCGCGTTACAATCTTGTCTTTCAGAGTCTTTCCCCCCCACGGTAGAATGGAAATGATGACTTTTTAATGTAAATTTTACTTAGACTGATTAGTTTTTCATTTGAGCTGCAATATTGCGCTCTATCTTCCAAAATCTCTAAAGGATAAAAAAAGTTATTTGTTTGAACATAATAATGAGTTCA